GTTTCTCTACTGCCTTCTCTCTCCGACTCCCTGGTGTTTCTGCTGCTCCCCTTCTCCCTTCCTCTTCCACCTCCCGGGGCTCCAAAGGATACCCCAGCATAAAACCCACAGATTGCAGGGGGCCAAGTCTTGCTTGTGACCAGGGCTGCAGAAAGCAGCTCCTATTCTTTCATTTGTTTGTTGCCCAGAAGGGGTTTCACTGCCTCTTGCATTCCTCCTGAATGAAGTGTGGTGGTTACACCCACCAGCTGCAATGAGGTTTCACCCAACCCCCAGCCTCACAGGATCCTTGAACCCCCTTGCTCTCTACCTTAATGCCAAAACTTAACATGTTAAACTGTTTGGTCCCCAGGAACTAGAGACAGCGGCTTCAAGGCTGCCTTTGACAGCAGGATTTTTTATCCTGTGACAAGCCATTCCACTGGGGCTCGTTTTTAATTCACCTGACACCACGCCCCAAACTTTCCTTGAAACACAGGCATGAACCAGGAATGACCCAGTAACTACATCAGATTAAGCAACAACTGGATTAATTATACATTTGCATGAGATGTAAAAATCCCAGCGCACATCGCTGGGAGAGCAGAGGTCCTTCTCAATGCTATTAAAGTAACTAAAATTTGAGCAGTAATAAAAACAACAGCAATCACTTAGTAGCTTCAATGTTTCTCTCATTTCTGCCAGCAGCACCCATCAATAGGAAAACCCTTCCTTGCAAATCCTTCCAAAGAGAACCAATGATCGGTCCTAATAACTTTAAAGCTCCTCCACTGTAGGTGCTTACCCTGGTACTTGCCCTTTGTTCCCTCTAAACCAGTGGTTCTCAACGTTTTTAGACTCAAGGCACCCTTCAGAAAGTGCCAGATGTTAGCTTTCATTTGTTTTTTAACTACAGAAAAATAATAGAGCAAGTTTTCTGTTGCGAAGAACTCAGAAAAGCAACAGAAAAGTCGCAATGTTTTTGACGTTATGGATTCCCATTTGAAATCTTTGGCTTTATCTTGTGAATTGTGGAAGTCTTTGCACCCTGTGTCACCTTAAAAAGGATTGCACAGCACACCAGAGTATTGTAGTAGCCTGGTTGAGAATTGTTGCCCTAAACAAAGCTTAATACTCTTTGCATCCAAACATGCAGAAGTGCTTGAGAGAGCTTGCAAGCAGGCTAAATGGTGGCTGACACAGACTACGCTTCAGTGTAGATGGAACAAATTAAAACCAGCTTGTTCTGAGTGCATTTGGTGCCCATTTGGATGCCTCAGCGCTCCTTCAATTAACATGGCTGTTGATTCTAGCTTTCCCTTTGCTCCCAAGCCAGAAGTTAACCTTGGTCTTTCTGTTTCCTCCCCCACATCTCCCTTGCCTGGAATTTGCTTACATCCTCCCCTCGGAGAACTGCCAGGAATCATCTTTACCTTCACCCTGCTTTTGCCCAAATCTGTGGGCATTTGTATACGCCACAGCATTTGATCCTCATTAATTTAACGCACCTTATAAATTTTAACCCAGGTTATTTTGGTGTGTTCAGTAGGTGTTTGCACGCCACATGCTTTCAGACAAGTTAAGTCTCGTGTAATTCCTGGCAGATTCCAGGGGGCAGCAAATACCAATCTACCCCCAGTAATGTCTTTCCTAAAGAATTCTTGTGTCTAGATCACTTCCTAGCTCAGTTCACTTTTTAAATGGTCGTCTTTCACCCCTGTGCCCTCAGCTTCAGGAGGCCAGGGGCACTGCAGCTCAATGAATCGATCCACAGAGCACAGCCTTTAACACTTGGTCCTATGTGCTTCTCCCTGCAAAGACCCTGTGATGGCAGAAATGTGATGTCATTCACTATTCCCCAAAATGGGAACTCTCACCTGCCTTGTACAATCTTCTGGTTCACTGCTCTTAAAAGATATGACTACACAGGGTAATTCATCAGAATAATTATTGTAGAATGAGTTATGCCTCAACAGCTCCCAGGGTGGACGCTCTTATTATGAGAAAAATACTTTTTCCTGATTTAGCAGAATCCATTTCGGAAAAAAGAATTAAACTAACTTGGATAAGAGTGTCCGCACCGGGAGATATCCGAAACGGCTATTATGCTTCAAATTCAGACTCTCTTCTTCAGGAAAAGCTTCCTCACGTAGACAACCCCTAAACCTCCCCTTCCCCCTAAGTTTCAGGTGACTCCGGACATGGATTGATGACCCATATATATTGGTTCCATCAGTGTTACACAAGTGTAAAAACATAACAGACAGATGCAGCCCCCAAAACTGGGGTAATGTTAACCAAGCAGACAAATAATTTACTTGAATTTTTTCAGGGGTTCTTCATCAGTGAACCACCAGGGAAGGTTTCATCTGTCCAGTTTATGCCAAAGTAGCTATTTGCTCAAAGCAGAACAGGCTTTTACCTGTTCCCCTACCAAGTAATGGAAAGGTGCCATAATAGCAGACTACACTTTGAGCTACTCTGAGATAAGCTGCACTGTCTGTTACCTACTCTGGTATAATTTACATGGGTGCACCACACTGATGTAACTTATGCCGAAGTATGTCACCATCTCCCCATGCCCTCCCTCTGTAGCATTACAGGTGGGTCTGTAGGGGGGAACCAAGTACCAATAAACTCTACTCTGCCCAACCAAGGTCTGTAATGCCAACTGACATGAGCTTTTAATGTTATCCATGGATCTCCACAGGGAGTAACTTCCCTCCCCGTTCTGGATATGTCTCTTCCAAAGGCAGGAGCACTCTGAAAACAGTCATTCCTCAGGTCCCCCAAGCTGACCTGTTTGCCCGAGGTGTTGGTTGAACTGTTGCTTTGGTTATTCTGTCATCATGTAGACTGTTAGTGACTGGGTCCTGTTTCAGATAGAGCCAACCACCATAACAGTGCCAAGATCAGAGCTGAGCATTGTAACAGTGCTCAAGGATTGCCGGTCCAAATTCTGAGCCCAAGGCATGTCAACAACCACCGCCAGGGTTAACTACCAAAATCAAGCAGGCTTGCTTCCTCTGTGGAAAGAAACTGGTTTCTCTCTCACCATTCTGGATCCTCTTTCTGTAGGATGTGAAAATTGTTCACTGAGACTTGGGGTTAAATGGAGCTGAAGGGAATCCGGCACCTGATTTCAATGGGAACAAAGCTCTCAGCATGTTTTGGCTCCCTTGAAAATGGCAGGATAGTAAAACATTCCTCACTGTGCAAGTGACAGGTAGAAATGAAAAAGCTGCCTACTGGCTTGTAAAGCTACTTGGATAAAAACCCTGTTGGCTTAAAAATTGAACAAAAACCAGAGTGAGCCCCCAGAGATACCGTGTTCTGCCATCCTTCAGGATTTAGTTGTAGGCTTGGCACTTTTGCTGAGTTTGCGTAGAGCAGCAGGGACCTCTAGCGACCAGTTAGGAAAATACCAGCTCTGCATTTCTGTAAGCGCAAAGTAAAAAAAAAAGCCCTTACCTGCTGCTGATTCTGTTCAAAGGCCCCTGCCCAACACAAGAGGTTAATTACTTGGGTTATGGGAAACTAGTATGTTCACACACTGTCACTGGTTCAACAGACCCCCATGAGTTTTACTAGGAGATGGGAAATTCCTTCATCAAATAACAGAAGCAATCCGTCACCGTAAGTTTAGTGTAGCAGAGCAAAATACTATAGGGTTGAGCAGAAACTGCCACCTAGTGTCTAGTCAAAGCCAAACTCAGGGAGACACAGGAGGAGGAAGACACAGGAAGCGTTCTAATTCCCACAGAAAAGGCTCTTGCCAGGAGGCCAGAGGGTTCAGCTAAGGATCTGCAATATCCAAATTAGACCCAGTCCTGGGACAAGGGCCTTTGTTCTCCCAATGTCTTTTCACATCGCACCAGCCTTCTCGCAGATGGTGGTGGGTCCGTGCAAGGATAACTAGTGCTCAGGGCCTCCAAGCACTTTGCAAGGAAACACACCGAGCCTCACCCCCACTGCAAAGTTGGCACCATTCCCATCTTACAGATGGAGGGAGATGAGGCACAGAAGAGTCAGGTGATAGACTGGCAGAGCTGGATCCCCACAAGCCTTGAAGCATATCCTGCTCCAACCACTAAACCTCATGCTCTCCTAAACACCCCAGTGAAGTCCTACCAAGGCCTCTGCCTCCCTGGAGGACAGCACTGGTTCAACTTCCCAAGGTTCCTCCAGAGAAGCAAAAATCCAGGTTAACTAGTAGCTCCATATGACAAAAGTGCCCATGGAGGAAGGCAGGCAAAAATCAAAGAGATTCCCCATAGATTTGAGGGAGAGTGGGTGTGGAGGAGAAGACAGGGAGATGGGAAGTATCAGCAAGGGAAGCTTCAGTCATTTCTGTGCCAAAGAAATGAACAGCTGTGACCCAGCAAAATGTACTGCAGCCATGTATGTCCCTGAAGACAGGGTGAGTCAGAAGTGGCCCCAAACTGAGAAGAGAGACAAGCTCTTTCAAAGACACACAACCTGCAGGTTCTCCCTCAAAGGCAGTTTTTAATTGACATTATATAAAAAAACCATTGGTAGGAAACAATGTTTGAACCCTCCATGTCTAGAGAGGCTCACAGTATCACATACACCAAATAAAGCTCTCGGCATCAGCAGGCAGGTGATAGCAGATTTGATGACTGATACCCAGGTTTCACCTGCAAGGTCTCGGTACTCAGTGAACCAGCCTCCTGGCTCCAGTAGACACATCACCATCCTGTGCTCTATGTCTGAAATGTCAATAAGACAGGGCCCAAAATGGCTGACTCCAACACGCATTTAGGGACAGGGAGAACACCCCAGAGCACTGACCTGAACAATTCACCAGTTGAGACAGGATGCGTAGCTGCAACATGGGGTCTTGTGCAGAAGAGTATGGACTCTTGAGTAAAACGGTCACACTCCTATCATAGGTGAGAGCAGCTACTGCTAGGACTGGCTACAAGACCCTTCCGGTGAAACAAACGGTTATCCTAAGATGAAACGGTGGCTTCCTCCGTCTTCTAATTTTTTGGGCTGAGTTGGGGGTACATCAGAGGCACCTCTGACTTCCCACCAAAATCTACCTAGTGAGAGACACGCCAGTTATAGCCACTCTTCCCAAGGGCCACAAGTCCATTTTGAATCATGAGGGGATAAGACCATACAAAAACAAAACGAAAACTGCACAAGGAGGAACGTGTGAAGACAACAGGATTCAGGTGCTTTCTGAGTTCAGGAATACTGGTTGGGACATGGCAGAACTGTATAACACTGGAACGTAAAGGCTGACGTGATGAGATGCCAAGCTGCTACTCCTCGCTCCCTCCATCATCCCGCCAGTTCCAACAGCCTCTGCCGGGTCTCCAGCACTATCTCCTCCATCACCTCCGGTTTCAGAATGTCCTTGATCTACAGAGGAAAGATGAAGAGCCACATTCACACAGAAGGATCATTGCAACCCTTACACCTGGGGTGGACAAGACCATGCTGGATGCATTCAGCAACAAATGGCAGGTGAGAGTTAGTGAAGCTAACAGAAATATCAGGGGTTGTGACCCAACAAAGCTTCAGTGGCCACAGTCAAGGCAGATGCTCTAAGACATGGATAGGACTTCCCTAAGGGCACCATAAAGATTCTTGCATGGACTATTCAACACTTAAAGAGAAGACAGGAGTCCTGAGACCCTCACCTGAAATATTACATACATATTCCTATGCCTAACACAACATGGAGGCAGAGCCCACTGGGTGGAAAAGCTGATGGTGAACATGAAAGAAGGCATTTCAGAGTTTGCTGTGTGAAGAGGAAAGGAGACCCTCCACTATTTCCATTTTCGCTGACAGCGCCAACACAAAAACTAACATGTGTTATGGTGTTTATGGTGCAGAGGGGTGCTGAATGCAAAAAATCCAGTCATAGAAAGTCTAACACCAGAAACCTTCCAAGGACTGGAAAGGGATGTGAGCATGCGAGGCCCACAGCAAAATGCCTGGGCTTCTAGTTCATTGTGCAGCAGGCTGGGCCTCCCTCCTCTGCATTCACAGACCACCCTGCCTTACCCTGGTGCAATTCCTGCCTTACCCTGGTGCAATTCCATGCCTAACACTGACACCAGGATAAGACAGGGAAGGGCTGCTATTCTGCCCAAGGCAAGGAACTTACAGGCACTAGTCAAGAGGCAGCTCATCTATGGAGCTCAAGTTCAACGTTATCCGATGCGGATAAGCCATCCCCAGTTTACTGACAGGTTAAATGGCTTGGATAGGAATGAACTTCTCAAGCAGGGGTTGGACTAGATGGCCCCTAGAGGTCCCTTCCAGCCCTACTTCTCTAGGATTCTGTGGTTCTATGATTTCAACCTTCTCATGATGTTATTTCACACCATCAAAAGGGCCAGCCTGCCACCACCTACAACAAGAATTCTTTTGTGGGGGAACTGCAGACAACCCCTCACTGCAACTGAAGGCATGCACAAGCCTATTAGGTCTGGCATGAACTGGAGCAGGCCGTGCCCCTGGTAGCATGGAGTGAGGGGGGCAGTGATTGGACTCAGTACCTGATGGGAGAGTGATGCTTCGTAGCAATACAAAATGCTGGTGTCATAGAGCATCAGTTTCTGTGTAACCAGAGCCACGATGCAGTTCCGGAGTCGTGAGATTACCTCCCGGTCACCTAAGGAGACTGGCTGAAGACGACAAAATGAGGATGAACTCAAATTAGAAAGTAAGGGATGAAATCATAGGGAAATAATAGCAGTCTACTACTTCCACCCATAGCTGCTATAGAATACAAGTTCTGTCCATGAGTATGGCTCTCAAGGCACAAGGAGGCACCAGTGCCAAGTGATCTGAGCAGGCTGGGAGCCAGGGATCCTTGGTTCTTTTCCTACCACCAAGGAAGAAATAAGGTTTATCTGTTATGGTAAAAGGATTCATGCCAGTGGCATGCTTTGGGAAGAAAGGAACTTGAACATTGAGACAGCTGTCTAATCAACTGCAGGTTCCCCCAGTTGTGTTTTTACCTCCCTGCCCAATTGTCCATGTCTTGGGAAATGGCCTTCCAGCCAAGCTCTGGGCAGGAACCCCTTCTATAGCCCACCAATTTGCTCCTTAAATTGGCTAAGAGTGTTATGCCTTCAGCACACACCACTGCAAGGCAAGAGATCAGGACAAAGGAGTAAGCTGCATCTGGCAGCAGACTATACCACACAGCCCCACTGCTGTCATTGTGCAAAGGACAACTGCCAAATGCCAGCTAGTTCACCCCACATCCACAGTGCTAATGTAATACTCCATGCTCCTAAGTAGGAGACACAAGGCGGACTAGTCAATGCTAGAAGGGCTAGGAACTTGGTAGGTTAGTAGATCACTCTGCATGCCTGTAAGTCCACTGATCGTAGGATATTGTGGCTGTGAATTCCACATCTGTGGTCTGCTGGTGGCTCCTGGAGAGCTGCCTAGTCACCTGATGCTGGCTCTTGTCAATGTTTCCAGCCACTAATTCCTATTAGGAGCCACTACAGACATAAAGACTTGTACCCCCAGAGCATCAAATCTATGTTGAGCATCCTGCCAGCATGAAGGGGAGGGGAGAAGCTTCCTATGACACTAAAAGGAAATGTTTGAGAGCCCCTGGGTAAGGACTTTACCTGTGCGAAGGACAGTACTTAACCACAGATGGGTCTAGGGAGGTGAGGGGACCTGACTCCAGCAAGGATATAAAAGAGCTCCGTCAATAGCTAGTGGAAGACAGGTTGAGAAGGAGGCCGTTGGACACAGCTTTCCCCACCCTGACCAGTCCCAAAGCACCGTTATCCTCACCTCCAGATTGGTGATGAAGCCACCTGCCTCCTCATCTTTCTGCTCAGGAGTGGGGTAAATCCAGATGAAACCATTGTTGCCGAGGATCACCGAGGCGCCACAGGGCAGGTCGTGGAAGTGAGTCTTCTGGCGCTTCACAAGGGAAGGCGAAACCTGAACGAGCACACCCTGGCCAAGCTGAGAAGAGGGAGGTGTGGGACACATCATGAGGGAGAGGTGTGGAGCCAGGAGCCAAACCAGTGATGCCAGCTCCTTTAGTGGTATGAAAATGAATTGGCTCCAACTCTTCTGTCCCCCTCTGTGAAACAGGGATGTAAAACCTGCCTGCCTCATGGGGCGCTGGGAGGATTAGCTAATGCCTGTGCACAGCTTTGAAGATAAGGAAGGCTCTAAGTGCTTAGTGAGAGCATTAATAATATCTTGATCGTACCTACACATCATTCATCCCCGCAGAAAAATGAAGAGTGAGCAAGTGGCTCAATTTAGCAGAACATCTTCCCTTTTAATCCAATCGCTGTCCCTCAGCCTTTGTACCCTGAGCACACTTCGCTTTCATCTTTTAAGCACTAATACCCCAGGTCTCATAATCCCAAAATGTGGCCTGCACTCCAAAATGGCCTGTTGGCTTATCTCCGCACACAAAACCAAAGATAAACGCCAACTGTGTAAAGCCCAAAATAGAGGGCTGAGAAGGGGAAGTCACAAGGCAAAGGGAGGGATGGGTCTGGTTGTTAGGGAAGTTATAGCCTGAGCATTCTCGGACCCTGGGTGGATTTGCAATCTGCACCTCGCATAGCTCCACTGTGTTTAAAATGTGCCTGACCCTAGAAAGGCCATGCAGCAGGAACCACCTAACATTTTACCTCTTCTCCATCACCTGCCCCTTTCAAAGAAGGCTTTCCTCTTCTCCCTCTGTGGTGCCTCCCTCACACAATGCAGTCTGCACTACCCATGAAGAAGCTATAGGCATATTCCCACTCTAGCTATTTAGATATCAGTTTAATGCATACTCAGTGCTGGCCTATATGCAGCCACTGAAGTCAATGGAAGCAGAACTAAGCCAAGTCCAAGTGTCTTTTGGAAATACCTGCCCCTTGGCCCAAAACCGAGATGGGCTATGCCTGTCTGGCTGACTCTGATGCTAACCAGCTACCACTACATTATGGCAAACATCACCACAGACACAGACCCTCAGGTGACTGTGACCAAGTAGGATCCATCACCTCCTTGTACCAGCGTTCAGAACAAAATTCTACGTGTTTGCTGACAATGGTGCCTGCAGAGGGGCATCTTGCACTCTCATCTCCCTCCTACATGTCAAGGCCCCGCACCCCACACAGGTTGGAGTCTCCAGCTGTTGGGACACAGTGATTCCCTGGCCAGTTTATCCATTAGGGTGGGCACCTCAAGCATTGTCTCACCCACCATCTTCAGATTTTCTTCAAAGACAGGGTAAGGCACTGGATCCCAAGAAGCACAGAGGTCCAAATGCTAACTCACCTTCCCGTATTTCAGACTCCGGGTGTGCAGAGATACAGCCCCATCAGAGAACACCGACTGGACTTCCGCCTGTCAGTGCTGTTTAAGGAAACAAACAGCCTGCAGGGAATCAGACCTCACCCTTGCTTCCCCCACCTTCCACAGACAATGGTGGACAATCCTGAAATATGACATTTAGGGAGGTCCCATTTGCCCCAATCCATCCCCACCTGTGACACCTTTGTCAGGCCAGCCTAAGACTCAGAGCTCAAACCAGTCTAAGGCTCAGAGTCCAGTCTACCTGCTCAGCCTGGTGGCCTCACACCAGGTTACAGAGTCAGAGAGAGGTGGACTCTCCAACCTGAAGACTTAGGCCCTTCAAGAACTGCAAAAGCATACACAGGTCAGTGATTCAGCCCTCCCCACCCCAGCCAGCACTGCAACCAGGGGTAACTGGGGAGACCAGCAAACTGGAGGTAAAAGGCTTAGGGAACAGCATCCAGGCCAGGACAGGACCAGCCTAACAGCCTGAGCCACTCAGGGTCTTAAGCACAAGGCCCCCCCACCACAACAGGCCAGTAGATGATCCCAGCCTTCAGGAACAACCTGAAAGTGGTTTCCCTCAAGCAGTCATCCTAGAGGAGATGCACTCTTCAGTCAAGCAACTCCAGAGACTCATAGGGGAGCTATTAAATGCTCCAAACGCCCAGGTTCTCACTGTGGAACAACTGCTTCTTGGGCACAAAGGAGACTAAATGCCAGAGAGAGCCAGTGAGGAGGAGAAACATTCCTCTTCATTTCAGGCTAATGTAACACTTCATGCCCCCCACCCTGCTCCACCTGCCCTGGGCAGTAGTGGACCGGAGAACCCTTGGGTAGGGTTCATCCACAGTAATCCTGTTGAATGGCTGGGGTTTGGCGATGCACTCAGGTCCCACCCAGGCTTCTGCTGCCTGTCTGCAAATGAAGGAAGGATACACTGATCAGGTCCCCCTCCTGCAGGTAGTCCCTCATGGCCAACTCATCCTCTGCCGATCTCCTCCTCTGGAAAACATAAAGGGATGGAAAGTGACACCCAGCCTACAAACAGTGAGACCTAACCAGTCCCCAGCCTAATTCTTCCTTCCATCTATCACCCAGGTGAAGCTAGAGAGAACAGGTTCCTTAGATCATCAAGGACAGCACCCACTCCTCTGTCTTAACCCTGCCTGCCTCTCCCCATAGATCATGCATACTTCCCAGGGAGGTCCTGCAGCTGAAAGCTTCTGGTGCAGATAAGGCGCCAGACAATGTATCAGAGGACCAACCCTGAACCAACCAGGGTGAGGGGAGCAGACAGGATGGGAACCAGCAGATCTTTCTTAGCTCGGTGCCACAATCCCAATGTGATGTAAAATCAGTGACAGCCTAGAGGTGCCATGTAATGGATGCATCTTTCCCAGGAGATGCTGTACTGCGAGTTTTAGCTACATGGAACCCATCCAACAGGGCACGCTAGCTCAAGGTGGAAGGGCCTTGCTCCCTTCTCCTCCATGCTTAATGCCCCCTCAGCACAGGCTCAAGTGTGCAACTTCTCTCAGGGGAATTCTGCACACCACAGCTTTCATCTGGGACCTGGGGCTGCTCCTGCCCTCTCTCCAAGGCCAGACTCAGAGTCCCATGCAACACTGATGTATGGACTAGCTCCATATGGATGCTACAACACTCAGCAGCCACTGGGAAAGAAGTTTTGTTGCCTCACAGCACACGTCAGTGCCCTGCTTCTTGTCTCAGCTGGTTGCAAATGGCAAGAAAGAAACACAGCATCATACAAGCTGGGCTTCTACTCACCAGCTCCCCTCCCGGCAGATTCATGGACGAGAGAAGCAAGACTGAATCCAGCCTGGAGTTTGTCTCCACCTTCCACCGTTTCTGCTGCACCTAAGGCGGGAAAGAGAAAGAGGTGGGAGAAATTCCTCTGGCTGGATCGCCGACAGGGCCTCTCTCTGTCCAGCAGGACCCTCAAGAATGTAACCCAGCCCATGAACAAATGAAGAGGAATAACTGAAGATCTGTCTTGTTCTCAGCACACATGAATAAAACTAGTGCCCTTCACTTATGGTGAGAGCGCCCGACTCATATTAGGGCATAATGCCCTGCCAGTTCCAATATGCTGCCTGTTTACAGCGTAACAAACTGATCGTCAGTGTAAGAGCCAAGTGCTTAAATACCCTTTCAGCACCACTGCCTACTTCATAAATTACCTGTGCTCTCTAACTGCCCCAGAGACAGTGGACGGGAAGCAGCTATCAAAGGGCTGCTATTTGAAGCCTTGAAAATAAAGCAGATAGCTGGTTTCATGGCTACTCTTGCCCCTCCTTTTCAAGGCTTTTAATAGCAGTCCTGAAACTATCAGACTCGGAAATGGAAAGAGCCTGCCGGTTTCGGGGCTGCTAATGCCACGGCACTGAGAGCTGCTGTGTGCTCCTGAGCACTGATCAGCTCCAATACAATTCCAGGTAAGACTTTTTCAGTCTCAAGACTATTCTCTTAAACTCAGTACACTCTAAACCCACTGCCTATGCACCCAGAAAGAGTATTCCTGGGGGCACAGATGTAGCACCCAAAGCTACTTGTCATCTCTGGCTTTTAAATTACTGGTGATATTAAGAACGTCCTAGTAACCAAGGAGGCCAGTGCTGTCCTGGTTTCAATGACAGGTCATGCCTTGCTCAAGGTCTCTCAGCAGCACAACCTGGAACCAAACTCAGGGGCTTAGGCCATGCCAGTACAGCTACGGGCTGAGCTTCCACAGCCTTTATGGTCAGACTGTAAAAGATCTGATTGCTTAAGTTGCTGGGTGCACCTTGGATCAGACACCCAGCCGCAAACGACAGTCTGATTATCTTCCCCCTTGGCTGGGGCTGTGCCCAGGAGCACATCTGATTTATAACATGTAGGACAAGGGTAACTGGGACAATATTGTGAATCAGAGAAATCAAGTCATTCATACAAAACAGTGACTGGAAACCTCTGGGCACTTTACCTCTGTGATTCTCCCAACCACGATGTCACCAACTTCACCATTATACCTGGGCACAAGAAAAAAAGGGAAACTGTTCACACTGGATGCAGAAACCGCTCTCAGCTCAGATCCCCTTATCAGCACCACGGTAATTAAACATAAGCAGGGACAAGCTGGCACAGGTCCCAAAAGCACAACCTGCTTCAACTCTAGCACAGTGCCCCAATACAGAGGCTTTTTTTCCAGCAAGTTTTAACTGGGCTCAGCAGAGGTGTAAATGAATTAAATTCACTGGGCTCTGCTACCCGGGAGGTCAGAGCGGACAATCGTGTGGTCCCTCCAGGTTTTAACAGTGACAAGCAACATGGGGCCTAATATCATGAGGATCAGAATAGGATGCAATTTAATAAAAATAAGTGTGAAGTGCTGCACCTGGGGAGAAAGAATCACCAAGACACCTCCAGACTGGGAAGTACCATTCTAAGCAGCACAGCAGAGGAAAGGGATCTTGGAGTCACAGTCGATGCAAAAACGAACACAAGTCGCCAATGTGACAAGGTAATAAGTAAGGCTAACTGCACCGTCTGGCATTAGCAGGTGCAAGCAGGTCAAGGGAGGCAATACTTCCCTTCTATGCAGCATTGGTGAGGCCGCAGTTGGAGTAGCGTCCAGTTTTGGGCGCCGTACTTCAACAGGGATATAGATAACCTGGAAAGGGTTCAGAGGAGGGCTACTCAAATGGCTGAGGGCCTGCAGGTAAGATCCTAAGAAGACAGACTGACGGACCTGAATCTCTTCAGCCTCTGCAAGAGAAGGCTGAGAGGTGATCTCGTGGCTGTCTATAAGCTCATCGGGGGAGGAGGTT